GTTTGTGTGTTTGCAGTAAGAAGCTGGTAGCTAAGTACCTGGACTGTCTATGTTTGTGTGTTTGTAGTAAGAAGCTGGTAGCTAAGTACCTGGACTGTCTATGTTTGTGTGTTTGTAGTAAGAAGCTGGTAGCTAAGTACCTGGACTGTCTATGTTTGTGTGTTTGTAGTAGGAAGCTGGTAGCTAAGTACCTGGACTGTCTATGTTTGTGTGTTTGTAGTAAGAAGCTGGTAGCTAAGTACCTGGACTGCCGAGAGGGAGAGAGAGATGAGAAGAGAGAGACGAAGAGAGAGAGAGGAGAGGGAGAGATTAGAGGAGAGAGAGAGAGAGGACGAGAATAGAAGAGACGAGAGAGAGAGATGAGAATGATGAGAGAGGAGAGAGAGGGAGGGAGAGAGGAGAGGAGGAGGGAGAGAGGGAGAGAGAGGAGAGGATAGAGGAGAAGGAGAGAGAGAGAGAAGAGCAGAGAGAGAGAGAGAGAGAGAGAGGAGGAGAGAGAGAGAGAGAGAGAGAGACGGAGAGAGATAGAGAGAGATGAGAGAAGATGAGAAGACGAGAAGAGAGGATGACGGAGAGAGACGAGAGAGAGAGAGCGAGAGAGGAGAAAAGATAGATAATTTTATTCTGAGAGAGGGGGACTGGGGGGAGAGCAGAGAGGAGAAGAGAGAGAGGAGAGGAGAGAGGCATGAGAAAGATTAATAGATAGTATATTAGAGAGGGCGAGCGAGATGAGATGAGAAGAGAGAGAGAGAGAGAAATAGAATGTATATATAGAGAGGGGGGACGAGAGGAGAGAGAGGAGAGAGAAGATACGATTAGACTTGGATACTAGAGAGGGGAGCGAGTGAGAGAGAGAGAGAGAAGATGAGAAGAGCGCGTAGTGATCCCCTCCTCTGTATCCCTCGTCCGTTGATGTTTGGGCGTTTGCAGATCCGCAAAGACCCCAAACATAATCAGGACTGATGGGGATACATGTTCTTTAGTCAGTGTGCGACTAGCTATTGACCACCACATCTCTGGTTGTTCAAAAATGATTAAAATTCAGTTTAGTTTGAGAAAGCTTGCTGACAGGAAGCGCGAAACGTCAGCGGTACGTTTCATACCAGCCACGGTTGAAGTTAAAAATTTAACTTTGTTATTTATATTTTCTACCAATCGATATAACTTATTAATGAGTTAGATTAGGATATATTATAGAGAGATGGGCGGAGCGAGATGGGAGAGAGAGAGGAGGAGACGAGGGAGGGAGAAGAGGAGAGAAGATAGTAGTGATTTACTGAGATGAGTGGGGGACAGACGAGATGAGAGAGAGAGAAGATAGATAATTATATATATGAGGGGCGAGCGAGAGAGAGTGAGAGAGAGACTGAGGAGAGAAAGAATTAGATAGTATTTATACTAGAGAGGGGTGAGCGGGGAGAGAGGAGAAGATGATGAAGAGGAGAGAGTAGAGAGAGGAGAGAGATACAAATAGATAGATTTATATAGAGAGAGGGAGAAGAGGAGGAGAGAAGGAGGAGAGAACAGATAGATAGATATATATAAGAGGGGGACCGATGAGAGAGAGAAAATGAGAGAGAGGAGAGAGAGAGAAAGAATTAGATAGAAATAGATTATATCTGAGACAGGAGCGAGGGGGGGGTACGGGGACTGGGAGCGAGACTGGAGAGTGAGAGGAGAGAGATGAGAAACGATAGATAGATCTTTATATAGAGGAGTAGGGGAGCGTAGATGATGAGAGAGAGATGATGACGAGAGAAACGATAGATAGTTTTATATAGAGAGATGGAGCGAGAAGAGAGAGAGAGAGAAGAGATGAGAGAGAGAGAGGAGGAGAGAGAGATGAGAGGAAGAAGTAGAGAGGAGAGAGAGCGAGGTCGAGAGAGAGAGGAGAGACGAGAGGGGAGAGGGAGACAGACGAGAGAAAGATAGATTAGATTTATAAAGAGAGGGGGAGAGGAGACGAGAGAGAGAGAGGAGAGGAGAGAGAGAAAGCGAGACGATATTGATAGCACCGTACGATCCGAACATGATAGAACACAACAAAATGTGACAACGCGAGACATCGCACAACATACAACACGACACGACGCGACACAAGTAGACATCACGCAACGCGAACGACAAAACATCACGCAACGCGACACGACACAGCACGACAGAACACAGCGTGACATAACGCGACAGGACAGCGTGACATAACGCGACAAGAACACAGCGTTGACACAAGCCGCGATCGGAAACAGGCGTAGACACTAAGACGCCGACAAACAACAGCGTGGGGGACATAACGCGACAAGGAACCACAGCGTGACGATAACGCGACACGATCACAGCACGACTATGCACAGCACAGTGACATAACGCGACGCGACAGAACACAGCGTGACATAACGCGACAGGACACAGCGTGACATAACGCGACAGGACACAGCGTGACATAACGCGACAGGACACAGCACTCACGACCAATAGACGCGACAGCACAGCCGTGACATAACGCCGACAGCGACACAGCAAGACATACTGCCGACACAGGACACCAGAGTGGAATAACCTAGCGACAGGACACAGAGTGACTACGATGACGGATGCGAGGTAAAGGCCCGTGGCAGTCATCTCGCTTGCCTATGTTAACTGTCTGGCTCCCCTACGCTGCAGCATACTTCAGCTACCAGCTTCTACTTGCAAACATAACAGGTAGGACAGTGTCCAGGCGTCACTAGTACCGCTTCTTACTGCAAACTACTACACATACTAGTCCATGGTACTTACTAGATACCAGCTCCCCTCTGCATAAACACACAAATAGACGTCAGGGTAATTAGCTACCACGCTTTTACTACAAACACCAAACATAGCAGTCAGTACTTAGCTACAGTTCTTACTACAACCCACAACATAGACACAGCATAGGGAGGTACTTAGCTTATCCAGTTCTTACTCAAACACCAAACATGACAGTCCAGGTACTTAGCTACCAGCTTTCTTTACTCAACGACACAAAGATGGCAGTTCCAGGTACTTAGCTACCTTTTCTACAACACCAAACTTGACAGGTCAGGTACTTAGCTACAGCTTCCTACTAGCAAACACAACAAACATAAGACTAGTCAATCGGTCTTGCTACCAGACTTTCTTACTGCAAAACACAAATCATGACAGCTCAA